GACAGCACAAGAATTCCAAATTTCTCCTGCATTTTTTTCGGAAGAGTTCTGCTTCATAGGTCACATAGGTAAGCCTAAAAATTTTACCCTTTGTTAGTAGGAAATAATTCATGTTTCTAGGAGATCCAAGCATGTTAGTTTTTAAAAAATTCTAGACATTTCAGGAGCATACGCTGTGTTTTCTAGCTTATAGTAGGTACACAAATCAAGTGACCATTCTAGAGACAGTCTGAAATAGCATCCCTTACATACAGCACATAGATTTAAAATCCTCAGTACCAATTGTTTTAGTCTCCATACCCATTCTCCTTTTTGTTTTTTCATGGTCCATCTCATTTATTACAATTGGCCAGCAAGCCAATGTCTACCAGCTGCCAGCTGTTAAAAGAAAACAAAGTCAAGAAGCATCCATACTGAAGTGTTTCTCTGTCTTTCATGAAAACAGTTTGCATTCTACACAAAAAATTCTTCCGTGGTGTAAGGGAATTGACGTCAGTACTGTTACACCCAGGATGATTTTGGCCCTGCATATCTATTATGCAATGCTTTTAGATGCACAGTTCTATGATGAACAAATCACTGCCAGATGTGAGAATAGTATTTTCCCTTTTTTTTTTGAGATCCATGAACAAATTCTCATGTGTGGACTGTGAACCACCTCAGTGTATGTATGTGTATGTGCTTTAAGAACAATTCCATAGAAAATTTTTGAAATAACAACATAAGAAAGAATGACAAAAGAAGCCCTACATTTGTTGCTCTAAAAAAGAAAAAAAAAAAAAAGAAAGCTCTCATAATTATCTTTCATACATGTGATACAGGTTCCTCCTTCCTTCCTGCCAGGCAGAAACTGGCAACGTCTACCAAAATCCTGACCACATTCAGCTTTGGGAGAGAAGTCCCTGAAAGGAAGAAAAGATACCATTGATAATTTGGCCTTCTCCCAAAGTCATGATAGAAAGCTTTATAAAACACCTGTAGTTAAAGATGGTCAGGGTCACAGGATGCGTGGAAGAATCCAGTGGCTTGGAGCCAAGGATATCCGCAATTTTCCAAGCATATCTGCAATTTTTTTCAATTAACCATAGCAAAAAATATGAAGTTTTCAAAACAGTATTTCAGCATTTAAGCATGTAAGACCTAATATTCATTGTTTCATTGCATTTAATCTTGATTTAATGAGAATAGGTAACTGCAATTATATGCTTTGGAAAGATACTGCACCAAATACTGATTTGCTTCCCTCATGTGTTTTTCCACACTTTATGATAAACATCTTGGATTCCTGGTTCTTCTTGAAAAGATCTTCCCACCTAAGTAGCTTACTTTTCAACTGCTTCTTTTGCCTACTGCCTACAATCCTAATAGTACCATTACTACATCTAGAAGTTTACTGTAGAAAATAAACTCAGCTCAGGTGAGGAAAAAAGTTCATGTTTCCCCAGAATTTTGTTCTTCTATAAATGTGGGTGATAACTGGAAAACTTTATCCTTTCCTCTAGTTTAATTTGTTCTTTGTGCATGTATTTGGCTTGTGTGGCGAGATTTTGGTGGCAGAGGTCTATTGGGATGGCTTCTATGAGAAGCTGCCATAAGTTTCCCCCATGTTCAACAGAGCCAATGCCAGGGAGCTCCTGTGTGTACCCACTGCTGGCCAAGGCTGAGCCCAGCAGCAATGGTGTTAGCACCTCAGGCCTTACAGAATTAAGAACTGCTGCATAACACCAGCAGCACTCAGGAGAAAGGAGTGAGAATATGTGAGAGGAACAATTCTGCTGACACCAAGACCTGTGAAGAAGGAAGGGGAGCAGGTGCCAGAGCAGAGATTCCCCTGCAGCCTATAGAGAAGACCATGGCGAGGCAGCTTTGTCCCTGCAGCCCATGGAGGCCACAGTGGAGCACATATCCACCTGCAGTATGTGGAGAACACCATAATTCTGCAGGTGGATGCCTGAAGGGGATTGTGCTCCTGTGGGAAGTCCATGCTGGAGAAATTCTGCAGCATGGTTTGTGAAGAACTGCAGCCTGGAGGAAGGACTCACATTAGAGAAGATTTTAGATAATTGTCTCCTGGAGGAAGGACTCCATGGTGAGTAGGGGAAGCGTATCAGGAGTCTCCTCTGTGGAGTAAGAAGGGGCAAAGGCAATATGTGATCAACTGACTGCAGCGTCCATTTCCCATTCCCTGTGCTTCTTGTGGGGAGGAGGTAGAGAATTTGGAAGTTGAGCCCTGGAAGAAGGGAGGGGTGGAGGGGAACATGGTTTAAGACTTGTTTTTATATCTCACTACCCTACTCTGATTTGCTTATTAATAAATCAAACTAATTCCCCCCAGCTGAATCTGCTTTTCCTATGACAGAAATTGATGAGTGATCTCTCTCTGTCCTTATCTCAGCCCATGAGACTTTCTCTTCCCTATCCAGCTAAGGAGGTGAATGCCCAGCTTTGGTGGCACCCCACCACAATACCGACCCCTCCCCTGAGTGTCAAATTCGTTGGACTCTCAGTATTTAGGGCTGGGACTGAAGTATCATTTATGACATTTTTTCTGTTCTGAAGAAACTGAATGCAAAATCAACACATTTTTACATGACTTGGGTTCTTGTTGCAGTGCATCCAGTACATGAAGCTGAGTCAGTCTCCTGCACAGTATAGTTGTACTTAGGCTGACCATGAGTACTGCCTGATGTTAGTAGTTAGAAGGATGGGTGGACCTGGTTTCAGTTGTATGCAAAAGCAAATATGATGCATCTAAGAACTTCAAGATTGTGACCGAGGAGTCCTTTGAACAAGAAAGAGGTGTGGGATTGGCAGACATTCCACCTTTTCGATTGAACGGGTAAAGGAATGCTGAAAATAAGCCTATTTGGTTCTTGATGCTTCTGAGTGATAGGCTTCCTTCTTTGGCTTAATCTCAGGTTTCTGTCTTCCATCTCCAGTAAAGCTAGGTAAAATTGCAAAAGCTCATAGGAAATAATTGAAAAAGGTGAAACTTTAAAGGGCCACCTCAGAAGGATAGAGAAACTTGGGTCTTTTACAGGGAGTCACCATTGCTGCTGCGTGTATATTTTCAGACAAAATGTATCTTAAATAAAACACCATTTCCTTGTGAATAAGGATTCACTATTTGTTTCTCCACCTTTTGGCCGCAGACAGAAATGAATTCTTTTCCTGACAGACAGGAGGCAATGAAGCAATATTAATCTCCTAGTCATGCCCAAACACATATGGGGATGGTGGGGAGGACAGACTGTTGGAGAGCAACAAAGTCTTTTCCCTGGCAATAAGAGACAGCTTGGGAGAACCAAAGCAGCAAAGTCATCAGGAAGGAAGGGTGCACGGAACAGAATTGCAGAAGCAGAAATAGTCCCTAGTGGAGAATCACTTTTGGGTGGCTCAGCCCATTTTATTTTTAACCTTACGAACAGAGGACTGAAAAGCATGGAGAAACAGAAAAGCTCTGACAAAAGGCCACAATGCCTAGAGTGGAAACAGTCTTGATATCTGTTTCTAGTCAGTGCTGCACATCTGTATGCCTAACAAAAGCACTACCCTGCTCATCACAAAATTTACAGCATAAAGTGATCCAAACTGAGAGCAGCACAGGAATTGTGGATGAAGGCAGAGCACTCGAACTGGGGGAGCTGGGGATTTGTGTAACACCTGCTTGCAGTACTGTTGGCACTAGCTACCACTCCAGATCTGTCACTTTCTGAGTTTTCTGAAATAGTATAATATAAAAACCTAAGACAAAAGAACTGGTGTTTCTGCAGAATTCCCTCTCTCTTATTCACAGCCATCATATACCAACCAATTTCTGAGATGATGTATTCAGTATCCTATGGAACTCTAATGAACTCAATGAAGTTATTTAGGGTATAAATCAGACCCAGTTTTGCTCTGTTTCCTTGATATTTCATATGCTTATTACCCTCAAAACTAGCCAGTCCCTCCTCCTTTTATTTCTGCAACTCATTTCCCACAGCTGTAGTATTTATTCAAAATCCTTGGCTCTTGTTTTGCCTCTCATTCTGCTGCCTGAATAATTTGATCCTCTAGAGTATACTACTTTAAAACTGTTGCACACACTAGATGAGAGATATTTTTGCACCTCTTTTCCAAGGCCAGATTAGAAATGAGATTATTTATGTTTAGTTAGCTAAAGACTGAACTCTCTCTCTTTTTTTTAATTTTTTTTTCTTGAGCATGTATCTCTCTTTTTCAGTACACACATTGAAACACAGTCTCTGCCATAATTTTTAGGACTGCAAGTAGGGAGTTGAATGGGAGCCAGGGTATTATTTATAAAGACAGTCTGGGCAGTCAGTGAGGTAAAAGCAAGAAATTTGTTTTGTATATAATTCCCCTTGATGTTATTTCTGTTTATCATGCTAATATTGTTCTAGATCTCTGCTCTGTCAAGAGCAGACAGGAAACTAGTCAAGAGTGGTGTGTCCTTGACAAAAAGTACATTTAGAAATAATAAAAATAATTTGAACATTCAGTAAGAGCATTAATTGTTAATTTCTGAGGTCCTTGTGGAGATAGCTGTTTTTAGAACGACTAGCATTGAAATAAAATTAACTAACCACAGTTTCTTGTCACTTCTGTTTAAATTCTGGAAGGAAAATGTCCAAGATTCAGGGAGCAGACAAGCTTTCATTTCAAACAGAATCATAGAATCATTGAACAAAACAATATTTTGGGTTAGAAAGGCTCTTAAAATAATCTCTTTCACTCCAAGCCCCCTTCCATGGGCAGGGATGCCACCCACTATATCTGGTTGCTTAGAGCCCCATCCAACCTGACACAAAACACTTCCAGGAATGAGGCACCCACAATCCCTCCAGACAACCTGTTCCAGTGCTTCACCATCCTCTGAATAAAGAATTTCTTCCTAACACCTGATCTAAATTTGCCCTCTTTAAGTTTAAAAGCCTTTCACTGTCACTATGTGCCTGTATAAAAAGTCTCTCCACTTTTTATAATCCCTCCTTAGGTACCAGGAGGTGCTGTAAAGTCTCCTTGGAATCTTCTGTTCTCCAGGCTGAGCAACCCCAGCTGCCTCAGCCTGGAGAGGTGCTCCAGGCCCTTGGTCATTTTCCTGGCCCTCATCTGGACTCTCTCCAACAGGTCCACATCAGAGCTGGATGCAGCACTCCAGGTAGGACATTCTGCACTCTTACAAGGGCAGAGTAGAGGTGCAGAGTCCTTCCCTTGCCCTGGCCAGCTGGCCACACTGCTTTTGGGGCAGCCTGGGATGTGACTGGCCTTCTGGGCTTTTGGCATACACTGTTGGCTTATGTCCAACTTTTCTTCAAAGAGTAAAATAATAGCAAGACAAATACTTAGCTTTAAATATAAGGGTTGAAATCACAGTCCTTTCATCTTTTAAACCACATTTCATCAAAACAACTTTGTAGGATAACTTCTGATATTTTTCCTCTGAACTTAATATTTTTATATATTACAGAATCACAGAATCATTTAGGTTGGAAAAGACTAAGATTGTCAAGTCCAACCTTTGACCAGTCACCAACTTGTCAACTAGACCACAGCACTAAGTGCCGTGTCCAGTTATTTCTTGAACACTTCCAGGGATGGTGGCTCCACCTTCATGAAGGATTTCTTCCTGCCTGATGTCCATCCTGAACCTCCCCTGGCAGAGTTGGAGACTATGTCATCTTGTCCTGTCACTCAGAAGAGGCTGACCCCCAATTCACTACAACCTCCTTTCAGGGAGTTGTAGAGAGCAATGAGGTCACCCCTGAGCCTTCTTTTCTGCAGGCTAAACAATCTCAGCTCTCCCAATTGCTCCTCATAGGACTGACTCTCTAGATCCTTCACTAGCTTCATTGCCCTTCTCTGGCCATGTTCCAGCACCTTAATGTCTTTCTTGATGCAAGAGGCCCAGAACTGGACACAGCAATGCTTCAAGTTCCAGATGGAAGTTCAAACTGGTGTTTGCTTTCTAATTGGTGTTAATACTTTGGCTTGGCATATGTTTGCCTGGTTTCTGAAAATATGTTTCAGTTAAAGAGTGACCTATAGTGCTAAGTTCAGAACTAGGACTTGGCATGCAGTTTGCCAAAATAAGAGCTGGAAATTATGTGTGTCAGTTTTTGTTCATACATCTCTTTATTTATCAATAATATTTATATATTGACATTGAAATATTTTACACACAAACATACACAAACATGCATATACATTTAGGAGGCATAACAATGTACAATTTGTTGCTAACTGTAACCATTATTTGGCATTGCAGAGATCTGGCTTAGTCCAGAACAGAAAGGTCTGTAACAGTTTTCTTCTCTGCTACCAAGAAGATTCTCACATTCTCTTGTAAGATACTAAAATTTGCTATTAGTTTGACCCCTTCTGTGGTGCCTGGTGAAATCTGACAGCAATCAGTTGCTGTTAGTTAGTGGCCAGTTTTTAAACTGTAGCAGGGGTGTAAGATGCCTCAGGGCATACTTTGATCTCATGTGCTTTAGCAAAAATGGAACATCAGGCAGTACAAACAATAAAGATATCCCCTTTAACTTCCTAAAGAGCATCTTTTAAATTTGGAACAAAGATTCACACTAAATGTTTCTCATTACCATTGTCAATACAAAGCTAATGTTGGAGACAATGGTTAGAACATTAATCATGTAGAGAGTGGAGGAAATGTCCTAGCTAAACTGAGTAAGCGGAGGCATTCTGGAGAGTGTTTGCTCTAGGAGTTAGTCACCCTTACACAGTCACAGAACTGGCTTCCACTAACACAGAGGTAGTCGGCTGTGGGGTTGACTATTTTTAGTAGGAATACATAAAGATGACTAACACTGCATCATGCCTTGGAGTGAACATGTAGCATTTATCAGAAATACATGTTCAACAGAGTTTAAGAAATACCATGAGTGACTGTATCTATGTCTAATGAATTTCTCACAGAGAGGAAGTGATTGAGCACACAAGGCAACTTCTCCATACAAAGAAATAATGAATTTTATGAGCACAGAGGAAGAAATGCATCTCTCTCAAAATGATCATCAAGGAAAAGAAAGTAATGGAATAAGCCAGAAAGATCATTGCATTCCAAATTGTCCTGCTATCTGTCATTATGATTGTGAAGTCCAGTGGAAATGGGTGTATATACGAGATCAACCAAATCTCAGTGGGGAAGACAGGATATGAGAACTGTGCACTTTGTTTTAAGCATTTGAAAGATGTAAAACATGTAAGGCTCTAAGATGAGGTGCTGAAGGAGATACCAAATACATTTTTTTTGTGCTATTATATTTTTTATCGCATAGAAGAAATATGATTGTGACAACAATCAGTGGATGCATAAAACTAGAAAAAGGAAGAGAAAACAAGGACAAATAGCAAGGAAGCCCCATATTTCTTTCTCCTCCATGTATACGCATCATACATCTTTTTAACAGTCAATAGGGGTGTTGAAGTTCAGCTTCTAGTGCACAAAGATGTATAGCAAGTACTCAGTCCACTTGCATAAATATCAGAATTTAGCACAGTAAAGCACTCAGCCAACTTGTAGGACAACTTGAAGAGAAAAAAGAGAGAAATAAAAGGAGTGAGCTAATTCAGAGCAAGCAGACTCTGTCAAGCAAATGGAAGTATTCTTTCTTGTTTTGTGTGTAAATCATCTGCAGATTTCTTTCAATTGCTTCAGTGTGTTCACTTATTTCTTTTATTATTTTAGGAGGAATAATTTATCCTATTAATAATAGGATAAATTATAAATTTAAATTATAATTTATTAATAGTAATATCCTAATAATAACCAATAAGTACTACCTACATAAATGAGCTTGTCCTCCACACACTGGAATACTGCACTGTGGGTAGTGCAGTACATGAGAATCCATGGTGACATGACGACCTTTGCATCTGCTGGCTTGGCAGGCTTGCTTGAAGCTGACTTGGTTGAACTGCTATTGAAATAATAAAACACAAGCAACAGAAAAGAAAGACACAGATACACAAGAGTCATATGTAGCTTCCATACAATGAGGGCTCTGGTTGGAAACTGAAGCTGGCTAAATAACATTTGTTGAAAGGTCTGGACAGAAATTCTGCCACAGGTTGTATTCCATGAAATTCGGTGACTTTTGTACCCTGATAAAAGTAGATACTAGAGAGAATATAGCTTGTAAAATCCACAGTCCAATCAAGTCAACTTTGATATTTTCCATTTACTGTGAAGGGTCTTGAAAAGGTCCTAAATATTAATCTTCTTTTCTTTTTTTTCCCCCCCAGAAACAGCTGTCCTCTCTATATGCAAGAGTATAGTTATTCATATTAAATCAAGGATGCGTCTACTTGAAATTACATAAATAGGCCATCTTCAAAAACAAAAATAAAAGAAAAAATAAGATACCAATTGTCACAGATGTGCATGGATAATGCAGGTCTTCTCATTAGAATCATGGAATTTTTAAGGTTGGACAAGACCTCTGAGATCATCAAGTCCAACTTACACGGACACTGTTGTATTCACCATTAAACCACATCCCCAAGTGCCACATCTACATGCTTTTTGAACACTTCCAAGGATGGTGATTTTACTGCTTCCCTGGGCGTCTGTTCCAATGCATGACCTCTCAGGGCAGAATTTTTTTCTAATATCTAATCTAAACCTCCCCAGTATAACTTTGTTAATTTCCATTTCGTTGTCTGCTTGCTTGTTACCTGTGAGAAAAGACTGACCCCTGCCTTGTTACAACCTCTAGAATCATAAATTAAGGTTGGAAAAGACCTCTAAGATCATCAAGCCCAACTGGTAACGCAGCACTGCCTTGCTCACCACTAAACCATATCCCAAAGTGCCACATTAGGGGCCTTGAGAGACACATAAGAAGCACAGGATAGTGTATTGTAGAGTTAAACCTACTCTGTGTGTTACAGACCATGTGTGGAAGAGCAGACAGTCAATGAAATGTCACTGTCGGTTTTCCAGCTGTCTGACACAGGTCCGCTGGAAAAATAAGGGGAAGAGATATATTTTACAATTGTTTCATCTTTGCAGCTGGCTATGTCTCTGCTACTGCACATAAAGTAGGGGCTTAGGAGACAAGACATGCCATCTTCCCACACAGGAGAAAGATGACAAAACACAAGAGAAACTGAAAATATAGCTCAGGCAATGAGTTGCTCCTTTGTGACATTCTCTGCTACAGTATGGGAAGAAAATTCAGCATATTCTTTTCCTGTAATGTTCAGCTGTGGAGCTAATTTCAAATGAAGCCACACACATATCTGTGTACATCATTACGAGGGATGTCCTGTGTTTTAGACCCAAATTAGCATCAGTCATGTAAGGGCACAGTGTCCTCATTTCAGTTATAGTAAATTACTGCATGAGAAACACTGAATCTTAAAGTTCAGATTTAAAGCCTTTGTAGTTAATTTTTATCCCCTTGCTCTCTCTGTCTGTATATTCATTTTAGGATTTTGACTATGTCATCAGGCTTTATTGCAGAACCTCCCTAAACCTTATTGGGAATAACTCTTTCCTTTATATAATTTAAATTGGTAAATAAAATATTATGTAAGCAACCTTCTGTAAAGACCTTGTCTCAGAAAATATGTTTTTTTATATTTTGTAATCAGTAGGAAGTGATAGCATATGAACTCACTCTTCAATTATCAAAGAAAGTTTTACAAATACCAGGAAAGCACAAAAAATTTTTAAGAAGCATTCTAGGGTGCAGTATTCTACTCTTGAAGAAAAATAAATCTATGGACCAGTTGTTGCTTACAAATAAGCAATTTTTTTTTTAGTTTGTTTTTGTTCTGTTTTCTAAAGAAATATTTTTATATTTCTGTTTTCTGAAGAAATATTTTTATATAACTTTTCTAAATGGCACTCATTCTGGAGAATTTTCTTTATTTGCTGCAGTAATGTTTATGTCCTCTTTTGGAAGGGCCTAAACACTTTGTATCTATCCCTTACATCTCTCGCTTCAGTACGGCCATCTCTGAGGGGCTATACAGAAACCATTGTAGTAGTAGCAAAAATATTCACTAATGGATTAAATAATAACTCCTCTTTTATTACTTCTGCCCTAATAATATATTAGTTGTTTAGATGATTGCATACTGAGAAACATCTGTCAGCACTGTTTTTTAGTAAGTCAAAATCTGTAAACGTAGCTGGTCTTATCTTGCTATAAATGCTATTTGTCAAATTTATCATCTTTCCATAAATCTCTGAACATACAACTTATGACGAGATCACTATAAACTTGAATAGCTGTGATTTTCTAAGAAACGGATGAACTGGAGAATGTAGGAGAGAAGAGACGATTTTCCCAAGCTGTGCACATTCTTAATATGCATATATAATTTTGGGCCCTGCTGCTTGCTTCTTTTTGTTTTAAACAAGTCTTTGTTCCTGTTTCTAGACTGAAACTATGTCAGATGCAAGGAGGGGACCAAGCTGACAAATTCAGATACCATCATCTTAGTGACTCAGAGAAATACAGTAAAAATGGTTCTACACTGCCTGCTAGATCTCCTTTAACCCCATTAGAAAAACAGTGAAGTGTTTAAAACAGGGCCAAAGAGATAAACAAGGAAAGCAGAAAGGAGCTTTATTATCTTGTTCTTACTGTCTTTAGCAGTAAATATACTGGAAGAATTTGAATTGTAATTTACTGATGTATTGAATTCATTTGTCATCCTTTGTCTCAGTGAATAAAACAGAGCTGTGCAGGATTCAGGTATATTGTAAAATCAAAGAAAAAGCTTCAGCTGAAATACAATCACATTTTTGCCTTAAACACATATGGTTGACACTACTAAACATAATGCATCGCTGAGTCATACAGAATAGCAAAACACATTTATTTTTCTCTATATTTTATATTTGTTTATGTTCACTTTTGACAGCATTTTTGCTGTTTTTCATATATAGTCTGTCCCCCCTGTTGCTTTGTGGATCTTTCAGACAGCACAAAGGATGTTAAGGACAAGGTTCTGAGTCATACTCCAGCTTGAAATATCCTAATTTTCTTTTTAAAGATCTAAGATTTCAATAACTCTGATACTTTATGTAACGAATAGTAACTTTAAATGCACACAAGCTACTAGAATGATACATTGTGTTTGGCTTTTGCTTATTCTCCTTCTACTAAATCAATTTACATAATCAAAGCCTAATATAAATATGTATCATCTTGAATGCTTACCTGTGAGATCAGTCAATATTGCTCTTCCTTTCTCCCACCATAGGAAAATAAAGGTCAAGAAATATCTTCATATTCAAACCTACAACATATTTAATTACATTCTCAGACTTAAGAAAATTCTCTCCATTTTAGGCCTTTTTACAAGTGTATTACCATACTGAACTTCTTACAGAGTCCATTAATTTTTTTTCCTAATTTAAATGCCCTGAAGAGTTCAGATATTCTTCCATTCCCCCTTCCCAACAATGACCTGAGCAGGATGTAGCCTACTACAGAGACCAGATTTATTTAAAAAGCCAGTTTCCATCAGGAATCCTTTTAACTAAAGAGAAGCAATCAAATACAAATTAAACTGTTCTACCTGTTACCTGGGAAAAAAGCAGAATTTGAAATTTACTTCTCAAAGTAATTACCTGGATCTAACAGACAGGACTTGGACTAAATCTTGCCTGAGACAGGCTTTCTGACACAATAATTAGCCCAAAAGAAAAGAAAACAACCAACATAAATTCCCCCAAACTTAATGTGTGTATCAGGTAATAGAAGCTGAAACTAGAGGGGAAAGAAAAGAGTTCTCAGGATTTTCCCATCTCAAGTGGACTAATTTTACTGTGGCCACTGCATTCAGCAGCAGTGGTCTGTGCCACAGATTGGTGACGCTCTTATCAGCCTTGAACTTTTAATCTAATTCTTTCTACTGGAGAGAAATTCACTCACTTCATGGAAGTTGGGATCTGTTAATATGAATCTAACAAAGAGAGAAAAAAATCCCCTTAAAATTATTGATATCAGATGGGAAAACTGGAAGAAACTTTGTACAGTCTTAAATTAATGTATGTGCAATACTGAGGAGAAAGGAGTGTGGATCTTTAACTCATGCCCGAAGGTGTTGCAATGATTCAGATAAGACTGATAAAAAACAGCTGTCCCTGACATTTTTGACAGCTTTTTTTGGCCAGTGAGATTTTGATTTTTTTTACTATTGTACTTCTGTGCTTGTAAGCTTTTGAAGATATGTGAAGCAAATAACATCAGGATCTTGCATAGATGAAGATGATATGTCTTTTGATGATATGTATAGAAGCTGTCCAAAATTCAGTAAAACCATAATGCCTGTGACTGATATCCGATTTGTTTGTGACCCCGAGTTGAAAAGGAACAGTATTCTCTACACCCATGTATTTGTTTCAGTTTTTCACTTGTAATTTCACTTTATTATAAAATTCAGAGTACTCCATTGACAGTCATATTGATTTCTTACTTGGACCAAAGTAGACGGATGCTGGTAGTCCCTATGATTAAGGAGGTATAACTGCTTCAAAAGATAAAAAATCCTTTGGGTGTTCCATTTGCTGGACTCCATGAGGCTACAAGAAGAATTAAGACAACTCTGCAGCACTGCATCATATTTCACAGGCTGCTACAGTACAAATTTCAGTTAACTAACTATGTGTACTCCAATTTATGGCAGGAATTGTAATACACTTTAAGTATTAAAGTTTGGAGTATTGCCATCCTTTCATACTCCTGCACATATGGCACAGGTTGAACTAGAGAATTTTACTGAAAAAGGTGCTTAGGCAGAAGTGTATTCTAGAATGTTAAATACAATAAAGATAATGAATACAAGAACTCTCTACAGATGAAAATAACAGAACCATTCTGTGCTGCTAAGGAAGACACACTAATTTGGCAGTCAGAAGAGCCTTACTTCAAACTGCCACCATAGCTGCATAAACTACTTGAAAAAATAATTTGTTAAGCTTTTCCATTTACAAGTGAGAATGATGATTCTGTTCTAATTTCACAAGCATGAAGATACAAAAATTTTTAAAGTTTTTATGAAATACTTTCTTCATCTAACTACCATGTCTGAAAGTAAACAGATACTACAGAAAATGCAACAAAATACTTAAACAATTGCCATGTTTAAATATGTCATATTATGCTGATGAAGGCCTAGTCTACAAAGCTGCTAGATGCTTTAGATATTTAAATAATATCAATCTTTTTCTGGGAATTATACAAACAGTTAATTATTATAAGTTGGTTTTATTATACTGTCACAACAGTCACAAAATGACTTACTTATATCTCTGTTTACTAATAAGTTCAGCCAATTCAGTGCTGTAAAAGAACTTGTTTGAGTTTTACACAGTGAGACTAGAGTAACCTTTTTTTCCTGTCTGGTGGTTCTGTGGTAATTCAGTATCACCACATCTCACCCACCCTGCTTTGTTAGTGGATGATGACAGAATTGCCACAAAGAGGAGAGAGAGAGGTAGATTAAAAACCCTCAGGCTGAGAATGACATTAGCTCTCCATCACCCATGTCTTAAAAAATGTCACTGACCATTATCCCAAACACAACCAACAGGAAGTCAACTTCTGTTTTCTGTGTAAGAACAAGTATGGGATAATCTCTTTTATAAAAGGCTCATGGTTCTGAAGTGTTAATGGGCAGAGACTGAATTTTAACATACAGCCTTACAGCATATTCTAAAGAGAAACAAGGTTTCTGGAAGTTTGAGAAACAGAGCCAATATAATAGGAAGACATTGAGAACACGGCAGACTGAACTCTTAGATTTGTAGCTCATTTTGAATCTCCTGCATGTGGCAAGAAATAAATATTCACAAATCTCTGCATAGCAAAACCATCAAGTTTCATCTGTCCCAAATCTGCATAAGGAATTTGAGGTGAATCTAAGTCCATGGCTAGCATTTGCTGCTGCATTTAATTTTAATAAGACACAGACAGGAAAAATATACTAAAAATATACTCTTCTTTTTGTTTTTTGCTTTTTTGCCTTTTTTAAAAATTTCTTTTTTGACAGAAGATACAGCATTCCTCATAAGGTTTCAACTGTTACAAATGCCATAGTCATATAAACATATTGCATTGCTTTGAGTTACCTGAGGATTTACATTTCCTTTTCCAGGCGTCTTTTAAAGCTCCCCCTAAATAAATTAAGGCATTATTTCCTTGATTGTAGGCATTATTTCCTTGATTGGTCATTAGACTCTACAAAGTAAGCTGTCCTTCATGGGTAAAAGATAAAAGCAAAAGCTTGTCAGACAAGTAACAGAAACTCTCTAAACACCATTAAGTGAAAATATTGCCCATTTTTTTCAGTAAGTTACCATGAAGCACATGATTATGATTATTCTAAAGCCATGCTTCATTTAGATAAGTAATCAACTCAATGGAATTGTCTTTATAGAACTACTGAACTAAATCTAGTCACACATGTAAGCTTTATTAAATGAGAAAACATCTGCTACACTGATGCGCCAGCATAAAGTGTACCATGGATATGCAAATTAAAATTACAGCAGCTGGAAATCTTTAAAATAAAAAAAAAAAAAAAAAGAATTTGAGCAGGTAGTAAGGAAATGTCAAACTGAGGAAGTATAAATTACTTCAACTTTTAACAGCAACTTGTTAAATTAGTTCTCCAGTTAAAAGAACCTCATAAATTTGATCCTTAATTAAATGTTGATACTAATAATTCAGACTGTATTAGGGTATCTGTCACAGAAATTTTAATTTTTAAGTTTTTTATTACTTTACAAGTATTTAAAAACTGTTAAATACTTTTTCTGCACAGAGGTTATGGTAAACCCTGAATGGTGTATAGACATGGCTGCCAAAAGCAGCTACTGGAATGCATAAAGACTTAAATTCCTTGTAAAGTCTGAGTTTCAGAGTCTAAATCAATTTGGAAACTGTAGACAAATACTAAGCTAAATAAAATTCTGATTTGATATTTTCATAGCAAGGAATAAATATAGGTACTTGCACTGGACAAGTGTAGCCCTTGTTGTTATCAAAATAAATGCTAATGATATTCAGAAAGTACAGGATTTGCAATCACACCAGCATTTTCCCCTTCAGTAAGGGTATCTTTAACTAGATTTCAGATGTTTCTATAATTTATCCTGTATAATCCAGTAATTACCAACAACAAAGGCTAGAAGACAAAAGCAATCAACACGGCAGCTTTAGAGTTAAGGACAAACAACATGTGGTATCAAGAACGCAGAACTGAAAACCAGGCTCTGGCTGAGTTCTCCTTTTGTGGTTTGTGCTTGTTGTGTTGCCTCCTTGCTTGCCACAGTCTGACATGAGCCTTCCCAGCCAAGGTTCTATCAGCACGTCCTGGCTGAGTACCAACCACCAGACGCAGGCAGGGAAGGTGCACTCCCATCGATGCTGCGCAGGCAAAGCAAGCCTGAGCTGAAATTGTCACTGGATGAGTGCAGCTGTGCTCTGCTTCATCAAATAGCAGCAAGATCAAAATGACCATCTGCAAGACCTTTTCTTTTGTCTCCTCAAGTCTTTATTTAGTGGTGCAGGGATTGGCTTCTCTTGGAATCATTCTGTGGGAATGATTTAGCCTACAAATTGCAAAACCATAGCTTCTGCCCTGAAACTGGGGACTCAGCAGGCTTGTACTGAGAAGCTTTAGGTAACATTAAATTGATTTCATTAAACTCGGACTTCTGTCTTCTCATGAATTAGCAGAAGATGTTTTAGATTGAAATGTATAACTTTGAAACCAAGAAAAATGTCTCCCATTATTATAAATACTCAGAGCTGCAGACTCCAAAAAACATGAAATCAGCAATTTAACAGATTTGGAATTATCTTATGGTTGTGGTGTTTTGGTTGTTTTTCTTATAAAGAGACAGAACATGTATAAAAGAATGAGAAAATAACTGGTAAAAATATTATCCAGGTTTTATTTAATGCTTCATAGTAATGAAATCAAACAGTGTAATGTAGTCTAAAAAAGATGGAGTAGAAAAGAAAACAAGGGTAGTGTAGAATGGATGCAAAAGAATTCCACCAGTCACAAACTAATAGGTAGCTTTCTTTACCAATTATCTAAATTTTTAGAGGGATTCTCATTCTGCTAAAGTCAACCTGGGCTCAAAATTTTGAATATCTTATTCCATAAAAATGAAAATTCAAAGGATTTAGTGTCCCTGTGTGTGGGAGTTTAAACTGATTTCAGTAAGAGATGTTTTGGTCTGACATAATTACAGCAATGTGTTACAAGAAAATGAAAATAGAACATTATTGCATTGATCTTATTTTTAATGTGGGTGAGTATCCTTATTTTATACCTTTACCACTTTATCACAGAATGGATAAAGGAAACCTTATTATTTTCCATTTTTACATAGGGTTCCATGAAGAAAACAGAAGTGTCTGTTTTAAGTCATGCAAACTACCAAAAAGCATCCTGCCAAACATGAATAAAATAAGGCTGCTGCTCTTGGTGTAGTCAATCACAACATTAGCCATGGGAATTCAGATTGTCAGAAATACAGCCCTTTGGTGTTAAAAAAGAATGAAAAGATGCCATTTTGCTGCTGTGGAATAGTAATAATATGCACAATGGAATCTCAAGTCCCACTTCTTGGGTAAGTTCTGCCTCAGGAGAACTTGAAAATTACCTGACAAGAACAAATAATGGTAAACATTAAGTGCTTTTCAGTGAAGCTGGCAGTGCTTTGAAAGAAATTTTTTTTGATACATGAAAGTAGGGGCACATGTGAAAGAATTTCAAATCCTATGTTCAGAAGTCCTCTCAGAGCAGTTTTCAATACTAGTACCATAGTGCTAGTACTATTTATGTAGATAATCTTCACAAAATTCATGATAGTTTTTCTGGTAATCATTGCAGAACTTTCCAGGAACACAACAGAATGGAAGGGGAAGGGGAAGGGGAAGGGGAAGGGGAAGGGGAAGGGGAAGGGGAAGGGGAAGGGGAAGGGGAAGGGGAAGGGGAAGGGGAAGGGGATGGGAATGGGAATGGGAATGGGAATGGGAATGGGAAAAGGGGAAGGGGAAGGGGAAGGGGAAGGGGAAGGGGAGTGGGAAGGGGGATGGGAGTGGGAATGGGAATGGGAGAAGGGGAGGGAAGGGGAAGGGGAGGGGGAAGGGGAAGGGGAAGGGAAGGGAAGGGGAAGGAAGGAAAGGAAAGGAAAGGAAAGGAAGGAAAGGAAAGGAAAGGAAAGGAAAGGAAAGGAAAGGAAGGAAAGGAAAGGAAAGGAAAGGAAAGGAAAGGAAAGGAAAGGAAAGGAAAGGAAAGGAAAGGAAGGAAAGGAAAGGAAAGGAAAGGAAAGGAAAGGAAAGGAAAGGAAAGGAAAGGAAAGGAAAGGAAAGGAAAGGAAAGGAAAGGAAAGGAAAGGAAAGGAAAGGAAAGGAAAGGAAAGGAAGGAAAGGAAAGGAAAGGAAAGGAAAGGAAAGGAAAGGAAAGGAAAGGAAAGGAAAGGAAAGGAAAGGAAAGGAAAGGAAAGGAAAGGAAAGGAAAGGAAAGGAAAGGAAAGGAAAGGAAAGGAAGGAAAGGAAAGGAAAGGAAAGGAAAGGAAAAGAAAGGAAAAGGAAAAGGAAAGGAAAGGAAAGGAAAAGGAAAGGAAAGGAAAGGAAAGGAAAGGAAAGGAAAGGAAAGGGAAGGAAAGGAAAGGAAAGGAAAGGAAAGGAAAGGAAAGGAAAGGAAAGGAAAGGAAAGGAAAGGAAAGGAAAGGAAAGGAAAGGAAAGGAAAGGAAAGGAAAGGAAAGGAAAGGAAAGGAAAGGAAAGGAAAGGAAAGGAAAGGAAAGGAAAGGAAAGGAAAGGAAAGGAAAGGAAAGGAAAGGAAAGGAAAGGAAAGGAAAGGAAAGGAAAGGAAAGGAAAGGAAAGGAAAGGAAAGGAAAGGAAAGGAAAGGAAAGGAAAGGAAAGGAAAGGAAAGGAAAGGAAAGGAAAGGAAAGGAAAGGGATATAAGTGGGATGCACGATGTCTCAAATATTTAAGCTAGGGATGTTACTGGGTTTCGACACAGAAACTATTTTGAATAAAAAAACCAAAATCAACTCAACAACAGTTCAGTAGGTACTGCTTGTGATCAATGGATATTCTATATTTTGTTTTACTTTTAAACACCTCATTCACGATAGCTAAAGAATAGCCTTGTGGATGCTGTTTCTCTGATCAGAAGATGGACTAGACCCTAAAACAAGGTGAGTTTTTGTGATCTACTCTTTCTCCCCATCAAAGCTATGTTAGAAAGCAACTTCAAACACAAGTGAGTAAAAGTACTTCCACTCTAAAATGTTGTTTTGTTATGAATCTGGATAACTCAATTCTATTACAAAGTGGCCATTTATAATTTGTGTAAGCAAAAAAAATCACAGCAGGATGTGGCTTATTGAGAGATAACCACATGCCCAGTGGCTTTGCTTTTATACCCATAAATATTCATTTAAGATGATCCTTTCTCATTGAAGTTGGTGACAAAACATGCACTCCATTCAGTGGGAACAGACTCAGGCCTGAAACATAAAATGCTGTCTTCTTCTGGTTCTGGAAGCCTCATGGAAACCTATGGGATTCTTGAGTAAACTTGGGACCAAAGTCTGCAGAATGAAGTAATTTAGTTTCTACTAGTAGGATGATCTGAATGAAAATCAGACTGTCATACGTTTGAGACAATAATATTGCTAATACATCCTTTCATCTCAGAGTGAAACTAGAGCTGAAATTTCTATTTACTGTGTTGTGTTATTTTGAAAAATTCCAGTGCAGAAATAAGGAAATACTTAATTTCAGCATTTTCACGATGAAATATTTTCATATGGCCAAACTGAAGTCTTTCACTTAATAAACAGGTCATGTGTCTTTGATGAAGTATCATCCATTCCATCTCACTGGAAAAGAGTTTGACCAAGAAATACTATCCTTCAAGAGGGAATATGCATATGAGACATACAGCAAAGCATCTGCAGAGCGATATTGATTTCAGTATGTGCTGACTTCAAATGAAATGTTTCAGATTAGTTCAGCAAACCAGAATATATGGTTTCATATTCATTCAACTGGAAAGAATATTTTTCTTGATTTTCCTAATGGGAAAGGGAAGGGATTCTACAAAAACGCTTTTTCTCCTGTGGGGGAAAAAAAAAAAAAAAAAGGGATATAACAACACTATGTTTTCTATAAGGTTAAAAAATACACAAAACATTTTGATATAAAGTATTCCACTAGCTCTGAGGTATATTGATCCCCATGACAGTTCTGCAGGCCAGACCTATCATTAATAAAACACAAAAGAAGTTGCTTCTTGATTGCTCTTTCAAAGTTTTTACCAGGTTAACAAAGATACTAAGTTGGTTTTATTTCATGGCTTCTTGCCGTGTGACCAAGATCATATTTGCCAGGAACTTTCTTTTGATGGCCAAGAATTTTTATGAAATTAAGAACTAGAAAAGCTGAAATTAATTAGCACTTTTTAAAGAAATGTTAGATGATCAGTCACTGACTTGGATACCTTTCGATGGTACGAAGTCCTAGAGTAATTTTTTAAAAGTAATTAGTAGATAACACAGCAAAAGCTTACATTTCCATGATTACTGCTTTCTTTCATTTATTTAATGTCTAACAAAAGAATTTTTCCCCCAAAATTGTAAACAACTAGTATTAAATATATTTATAGACAATCTGAAAGGTCAGAAGAGAATAAAACAGAATGTATGGACTTTTTATTAGGTTATGCTCTGTATCTTGGTGAAATATGGAAGACTAATTCCTTGCCATTTGCAGCTACTTAGGTCATTTAATAATTCTTTACTACAGTAGCATCATATTGGTTGCATCATTTGGTTGCTTAAAATCTATATGTATTTTCATTCTTTTTTTTTCTTATTCAAACTCTATTCACCTTCCTAGACCTCTTCAGTTCAAAAACTTAAACTAAATTGTGTTCATCATTCAAAAATATGAGGGAAGAAGGAAAAATGTCAGAACACTCAGACAGCTTTGCAAGCAACAAAATTTTCAGGCACTTGTATAGCTGGAAAATACTGCCTCTATTAAATTCCACTACAATTCACTGACATCCTACAGATGTAAGGCTGCTGTATCATCTGGGTTTATTTAGCAGAAACTTTAATGTATGAATTTTGTTTGGATACTTGTGTGAGAGACCACTTAAGAGCTTAAGAGCAGTGTAGGTGTGTGACTTAAAAGTGCAGGCTGGCAAAATTATATTTCAGGAATGAAAATCCAAATATATTTATGTATATCTTTAAGTCAAAATACAGGAAACAGGAGTATTACAATGAAATAATGCAAAATATGTCACACATCCATGGGCTGTTTTGTTCAACTGCTTTTTCTGCAATTTATCTTCATTCTTCTGAAAGCTGGTTCTTAAGAGTTTAAAACCTGATCACTCACATAAATTTATGCAAATGACCAACCCATTCAATTGCAGATGAGGACCATTTATTTCCCTATAGTGAATGCAAGAAATACAATAAAAATTTATTGTATTTCTAAAGGCAGAAGTTTTAGGCAATATCACTGCTCAAGATTATTCTCCAGTTTCTGACTGGAATCTTGATGCAATTGTTCCACAAATCCTCGTTCACACAACTATAAGACTTCCTAATGTAGAGAATATTGCCAGATAAGATGTAACAGCATTCTGCCTCATTTGCCGTAATGTAAATAAATCCTTTATTAACAACACCCTTAATAAGTCTATCCATGTCAATTAGTCTAAGGATTAGTATACCTTAACTTAGAGTTAGGTTAAAATGCGCTGGGAAAAATACTTGCCAAAAGTCCAGGAATCTTTTTGCGCAATTATTTGCCAGCTAGTTTTCACACTCAATTCAAATTGCTTTATTTTTGAAAAATGCTGCTGGAGAAAATATATTTGGTTTGTAAAAATACCTAGGGACATTATTGTGTGGAAAGGGCTAGACAAGCATATCTAAAATAAAATTAACATGAAATTCAAACCCACGGGGAATGTATCTAATCTCTTAAAAATTTTTTGTAGGCTATTGCAAAGTTATGTCTTGGCACTTCACTGTTTCAACCAGAAATGAAATTGGAAACACCAAAATACTGTTCTTGAACTACAACTGTCCTGAATGAAAGAAGAAAGCACTACAAAGTCACAGGACTGACTGTTTTTAGGAAATTGCCATCTCATTTCCCTGCTGGAGAAGTTGAGATTTCTTTCTCTTTAGACACTTAGTTTATAATTTAATCCTAGTCAGATTA